TTCTGATTTTAAGTCACGTTACAGATCCCCAAGCACTCACCTTCCATTGAAGGATATGACTTTTGGCCTTTAAGAACACAAGGTTTTTGAGAAACAAATTTGGGGAAACCAGCTACTCTCCTGAGGCCAGCCACTCTGTGCCTCCAGCTCACCCTCGGACAAAGAATAGGGCTGATAAATAATGAATCAGCATCCTGTTCAATTGGTGAGGTTTAAATGATTTTAAATTCTTTTCAGGTGAAAAATTACTACAATTTTGTGCTCATGGCAGATTTCAAAGGGAGACCTGAAGCAGAAAATCTTTAAGCGACCCTTGCAGAGCCAGAAGTTCTTTTCAGGCTGATGTACATAAAATATTTAGTAATCGGGGCTGTGGAAGTACTGAAGAGGCGCTTTTTAGACCTGGAAAAAGACCATTTCTTAAGCTCATTCTTGGGGTCCTGCAGAGACAGGCCCTATCCCTAATATACACGGCTGGCTGGAATCAGCACCAGCTCTGGGGGACCTGGGGGACCAGGTATGTGTCCAGCTCCTGGCAATGGTAGAGGGCCACACTGTCCAGTACCCACTCTCGTGTTACCACAGGTGCTTCACACATCTGCCTGATCACTGGGGACAGAGAACAGAAGCAGAGATTAGTATCAGTTCACATTTCCCAGACCAGACTCTGAATCTACTCGGGGCAACTGATTGGATGAGTTTGTAGAGCTCCTCAGGCAGGAGCAAAATTATGGATCCTCAGCAATGCTTCAGGATGTATTAACAGAACCTTACTCTGAAGCCCAGGAGTGACTGCTGGTAAAAGCCTACAGCCTCTGGCAACTTTATTAACATGAGCTCCAATCTGTTAAGGGAAAAATCAACGGAGACAGCAAAACAGCATTGCAATTTAATGATGTGGAAACATGTTTGTAATATCTTAAGTGAAAAAGCAAAACAGTTGATGAGCATGATCACATCTGTATAAAATATACATGTGTATACACAGACACACACACAGAGGCCTGGAAGAATTTTCTGGTGATCCTCTCCAAGTGGATGATCTTGGGCTTACTGGGATTATTTTATTGTGTTTATGCTCATTTATATTTAATGTGATGAATTTTCATATTTAACCCCCACCCCCCACCCCAGGGAAACAATTCAGGCACTACTTTTAAAATACGAAATAAACACTTTTTGAAAGGACATTTCAGCATTCATTCATTCATGCAACAAATATTTATTGAGCACCTAGAGTGTGCGGAGAACCGTGTTAATCAAGCACTGGGTAATCTGTACTGAATAAAATGCATCCTGCCCCATAGGATGCAGGTACAAGCCTATGGTCCTTTGGAGGCCCTTACAGGTGGTGCCATCCACCCAGTTGATACAAACAGGACATTTAGACCTAAAACCACCACACTAATCTGCACACTTAACCTGGACCTTCTACCCCAGACTCCTCTGGATGAAGGCTTACAGAGAGACTTACCATGGAAGCCAGCATCCTCTGTCCAGGCATCTGGCTGCACGACCACAACTGGGTGAGTACCCTGCATGCCCAGGAAGGAAAAAGCATTGAGGGTATCAGAACAGGACTTTTGTGACAGTCACTTCACCACTTCTCAATGGTTTGCTTAAGCAGACTACTCTGCGGGCGACCACACAAATGAGGGAGAAGGGCACATGGTAAAAAGGAAGGGTCAGAGGGAAAGATGGCTTCCCAGGTGACTCAGTGGTAATGAATTCGCTTGCCAACGCAGGACGTGCAGGAGACCCATGTTTGATCCCTGGGTTGGGAAGATCCCCTGGAGGAAATGGCAACCCAGTCCAGCATTCTTGCTTGGAGAATCTCTTGGACAGAGGAGCCTGGTGGGCTACAGTCCATGAGGTCGCAGAGTTGCATAAAACTGAGCGACTGAGCACACATGCACACAGAGGGAAAGAGCGTCCCCTAGGTGTGTTAAATACCTGGAGTTCTTAGGTTCTCACTTATCTCTTAGAAATAAAGAGTCTTCTGGCACAGGTACAAGATCAGAGAAGGGTCAGGGTGAGGTGAGGCACCTGAGAGTACATTGGGGGGTTCCTAGGGACTGATGGGTTCTTCCTAGGGACTGATGGGTTCTGTCTTGCTCAACCTCAGGACAGGATAATATATCCTCCCTGATAGGGCACCACTTACCTGGCCTGGGGTGAATGACGAGGGCTCCTTCACCACAGAAGCCCCACACAGCTGCACCATCCACTCTAGTTGATCTAAACAGGACATTTAGACTCAAAATCACCACAGTAATCTACACATTTACCTGGGCTCTCTACCCCATCCTCCTCTGGATGAAGGCTTACAGTAAAACTTCTCAGTGGGAGAGTCCATGTTCTGCTGCTCCAAAGGGACAGAAAGGCCTTAAACTACAAATTCTAATTCTACAAAGTAAGTTAATTTGCCACTGATATACTACCTACTTTGCTTATCAGTATCCATAAGGCCACTTGGTAGATAAGGTCTGGAAGTCTCTCAAATGAAACTCATTGGAAGAAAAAAAAAAAAAAATCAAGGATCTAATTTCCATTAATTTGTTAAATTGCTGGCTAAGATACTGTAAAAAAATACCCACCCACCATCCCTCCTTCCCTGCCTAATTCTGTGTTGGTAATTGATAATCACAGCCACTGAGAGCACCAGGCTTGGTGGTAATTACTGTAAATGTCAAGAGACGGGAAGATTATTCATTCAGTCAAGAAAAAAATACAAGTCACCCTGGACAGAGACTCAGCACACAGGTGGGGAAAGGCCGTCTGCTGACCTGGAATCAAATCACTTGGGGGAAGAAAAATCAGAAGAGATCGTAGAGATATGCCACTTGGACCTGGAAAATCAGCAGAACTGACTGCTGGGTGGCTTCCAGGCAGCTTCGAGTTCTCTTTTCCATCAGTCAGTCCATTTCTAGGGATTGCTGAGATACTCCTGCTTGTTTGGCTGAGTACACTGAGGTCCATTAACTCACCTCCAAAATGACAGCTGCTAGAGACCCCGGTTCTCATTATATCAAAGTACAGAAACACTGAGAAAGCTCTGAGTGGCACTTGGAAATTTCATAAAAATCCAATCCATAAACAATAAAGACAAAAGCAAAATTACTTTGCCAGGTTTTGCTCATCTCTCCCTCAGGGGAGTAGGAGGACCTAATCCCTGGGACAGAAGTGGTTACAGAGGCAAAGCTGGGTAGCCAGAGAGCCTCTGTCTGCAAAAGAATGAACCAAATCTATATACACCTCAGAACCTCAGCGCTGCACAACTCCAGAGCTGAGCTCCACAGCACTTCTCAACATAACATTACATTCAGTATCAAATTTAATTAGAAAATGTTCATGAAGAGTCTTCCTCTGCTCTGGGCCTGTGTGGAGCACCAGGCCCACAGGGCTTAGGCAGCTGCTGTGCTTTTGTCTCTGTTTCAAATAAAGATGGTTTAGGAGGAGCAGGATTCTTTCTTGACATTTACAAGCCTAAAAGGCATCTTCTCCCTAACTTATTATTTCCCCCTTTCTTAGACCAAAGGGCAGTAAAAGCCGCTCTATCCCACTGAGCACAGAGCATACTGTGTACTAGCTCTTCACTGCCTTCTAGCTCTTGAGAAGGAGCACTGGGCTATTTAGGTGCAGTTTTGTCTGATGGGTGGTAGAGAAAGAGAATAACCTCTAGAATATCTCACCCATCTGAGGGAACCCCCATAAGGTGATGATGTAGGGGAAAGGTTGGTGTTGGATTCAGCAGTTCTCTTACCTGTGGGCATATTGGTAAAAGGTCCATAGCAACAGATCTCTAGGCCCTTGAAGATCTGGGAGAAAAGAGGGACAGGGGGGTGGAGAGAAAGAAACATTTGCTGTAAAAGATATGGATTTTATAAAAAGCAATATAGAGGACTTACCTGGTGGTCCAGTGGTTATGATGGCACTTCCAAAACAGGGGGCAGGGGTTCGGTCCCTGGTTGGGGAACTAAAAGCCCACATGCCATGGGGAGCAACTTCCCCCCCAAAGCAATATAGAGACTCTCAAAAGTAAGAACTTTTCCTTAACACCTGATAATTTCTGCTGCTATTTTCCAGAGATAATCAGCCCAGTGTCCAGAACACTGATGGATTTTAGAAGAATTTAAGTGCTATATGTATTCGATCTACTCTACAGACATTCATTCTTTGTCGTTCAAGGGCTGAGCATCCCACCTTGCTACCAATCAGGTCCAGGCTTTCCCCTGGCCTGTGCAGGTAAACTATACTTCTTGTAAGATGAGAAGAAAAAAACTGGTCCTCCTTTATGTTTAAGAAAAGGCTTGGATGGCAAAAGATTCAAGTTATCATCTGAAGTTTGATGTCTATCCAGACTTGATAAGTCAGTACAAAACAGGGGGCAAGGGTTCAGTCCCTGGTTGGGGAACTAAAATCCCACATGCCATGGGGAGCATGACCTGACCCTAAATGCCAGAGAGGTTTATTTTATGTGTACATGCTCCTTTTCTTCTAGTCCCAGAACATCTGCTCCTGCCTTCACACTGCTCTTCGAATGGCCATTGTTCCTTTAGGCAACCCAAGTTGTCTTTAATCTGAAACTGAAGGCTGATTCTGCCTCTCCACTAAGCTGACTGCATAAATATCAGGAGACAAAGATCACACTGTAACTTGTAGGTACCTCTTCTACTCACAGTACTCGACAGACTGTCCAAAGAACTTTCTGTGATGGTGGAAATGTTCTATATTTGCTTTAGTGAGTTACCTGGAGCTAACCAGCACTTGAAATGTGACCAGGATGATTGAGGAACTGAACTTCCTATTTTATTTAATTTTAGTTAATTACAATGTAAACAACTTTGTGTGGCTGGTGGCGACTCTTTCCAGACAAGCAAATTCTTTTTTTTTTTTTTTTTTGAATTTTTATTAGTTGGAGGCTAATTACTTTACATCATTACAGTAGTTTTTGTTATACATTGATATGAATTAGCCATGGANTTTTTTTTTTTTTTGGAGGAGGCTGCTGACAGCTTTATTGCTCTGGGGAGGGGAGGCCAGAGGCTCAGGAGCTCTTGGTGGGACGGCTCGGCTTCCTCTTCACCATCACAGGCTTCTGGCTGCGCAGGATGGCGCTGGCTCTGCGGATGGCGGCCATGCGCAAATCCGGGCGGTACTTGTTCTTCCGGATCATGTGTCGGATGCTGCTGAGGGTGGCCCGGGCGTTCTTGTTGATGGTGGTCCGCACGTAGGAAGTGGCCGGCTTGCGCTGGCCGGATCTCCGCTTCATCACCACCACGACCCCTTTGCCGTCCGCCGCCGGCTCCACGCCCACGGTCTTGCGGTGAATGAGCCCATTGTAGCGAAAGGAGTTGCGCGCCTTCAGGTTATTCGGCTCGGTGCTGTACGTCTCAGACAAGCAAATTCTTACCCATGCTTTGGCATAGGTTCTTAGTGAAGGAATTAGGTATCATTTTAAAGAAAAAGTCGAAATTGTGCTGGTTGGCTGGATACATACGATTTAGGTAGCCTGTGTTCTCTTCTGACCCTCCTTCTTTCTCCTTATTCCACTAAAATGAAAATTGTCTCGGCCTAGAACTCACATGGAGAAGGCAATGGCACCCCACTCCAGTACTCTTGCCTGGAAAATCCCATGGACGGAGGAGCCTGGTGGGCTGTAGTCCATGATGTTGCTAAGACTCGGACACGACTGAGCTAGTTCACTTTCACTTTTCACTTTCATGCATTGGAGAAGGAAATGGCAACCCACTCCAGTGTTCTTGCCTAGAGAATCCCAGGGACGGCAGAACCTGGTGGGCTGTCATCTATGTGGTCGCACAGAGTCAGACACGACTGAGGCGACAGCAGTAGCAGCAGAACTCACATGGCTTCAAGAGACTGGAGCAGAGAAAAATCAGAAAGCTAAAAACACATGTCGGCCTTTTAGGAAATGCTCACCTCTCTCCTTCCTCCCCTCCCTTCCACTTTAACCTCAGCCAGAGGAATAAGGACAGACAACAGGACAAGTCTGCTTCTGCTATAAATGACAACCTCCATCTGTGCCATTCTTACTATCTCTACAAATAAGCTGCATCCCAAACCTGTTGGCAGGACCTACATGTTTATGATGCTAAAAGTTGTCTCCAGACGGCCAGCTGGAGCCAAGTGAAGTGAAGTGAAAGTCACTCAGTCGTGCCTGACTCTTTGCGACCCCATGGACTATAGAGTCCATGGAATTCTCCATGCCAGAATTCTGGAGTGGGTAGCTGTTCCCATCTCCAGAGGATCTTCCCAACACAGGGATTGAACCCAGATCTCCAACCCAGGTCTCCCACATTGCAGGTGGATTCTTTACCAGCTGAACCACGAGGGAGCCCAAGAATACTGGAGTGGGTAGCCTATCCTTTCTCCAGTGGATCTTCCCAACCCAGGAATCAAACCAGGGTTTCCTGCATTGCAGGTGGATTCTTTACTAACTGAGCTACCAGGGAAGCCCCACTGGAGCCAAATGTTGCTGCAAATAGTACAAAAGATTAGGAATTCTAATTCCTAATTCCATTCTGGATGTCAACATCCAGGCTGACATTCACTGATGAGGATGTCTAGTTATGAGATAAGAAATCTGAAATTTCACTTCTTCAAATACATTTCTCTTCCGCAAGGAAACACTACGGTGACACTTGGTGTCTTATGAACAACATTACTTTGACCAGCACGTTCTGTCACTGCCATCCCAAATGCAGGACAAAACTCCAAACGCTGGACTTTCCTTTGAAGGAGGGAAGAATCTGGTGCTGATTCTGCCTTGCATCCAGTGGAATAAAAACAACTGACTAGCTCACACAGAGCTGCCCTGGGGCCCAAGCAGGAGGAGAAACAGGGCAGCAACTTTTCTTGGCATCACTCAAAGGGTGCCAACCGCAAGGGTTTCTGAGCTCCAGGGCTTGAGCTGTGCTCATCTCCCAAAGCAGTTTTCCTCAGAAAAGCATCTCTGTTGGCTGTCTCTCAAGTCCTATAAAGGAACAGGAGGTGCTCTGTATGGGGATGTTCTGAGATGCCCACGGTGCACACTTGGAAAAGGAGGGAATGCAGACAGGAGCATCAGTGCTCAGTCAGTGACCTGAGAGCAGCCAGCTCAGGCCTCACAGGCAGGTGTGAAATCTTTTTCTTTTTTTTTTAAGTTGGAGTATAACTGCTTTACAGTGTTGTGTTAGTTTCTGCTGCACAATGACATGAATCAGCTATATATGTGTGTGTGTGTGTGTATATATATATCCCCTCCCTCTTGAAACTTCCTCCCATTTCCCCAGCCCATTCCACCCCTCTAGGTCATCACAGAGCACTGAGCTGAGCTCCCTGTGGTATACAGCAGCTTCCCACTAGCTCTTTATTTTACACATGGTAGTGTATATATGTCAATGCTACTCTCCCCATTCATTTCACCTTCCCCTTCCTGCACTGTGTCCACATGTCCATTCTCTACGTTTGCATCTCTACCCCTGCCCTGCAAACAGGCTCAGCAGTACCATTTTTCTGGATTCCATACATTTGCATTTGCATTAATATACAATATTTCTTTTTCTCTTTCTGACTTCCCTCTATATGATAGACTCCAGGTCCATCCACATCACTACAAATGACCCAATTCCATTCCTTTTTATGGGTGAGTAATATTCCATTGTGTATATACACACCCCAAATCCTCTTCATCCACTCACTTATCGATTTGTCCTGGCTATTGTAAATAGTGCTGCAATGAATACTGGGGTACGTGTGTCTTTCTGAAAGTGTGAAATCTTGCCTGGATTTCTCCCTGAGAGAATGACATAATTTTGGCTATATCATCCACAACGGTATGATCTGGGGAAGAAAGTCACTGAATCTTCCTGGGCCTATAGTGTTTTATTTGTAAAGTTGTTAGAATAATTAATTTTCCTCCTGTATGAAACCTCCTATAAGATGCCAGGAAACTACAGTGTTGTCATTAAGAGTCAGATTTGAGAAGTAGACTGCAGGGGTTCAGCTTCTAGTTGGGCTCACAACTAGCTGTGTGAGCTTGGGGAATTCACTCAATCTCTTTAAGCCTTAATTTTCTCATCTATAAAATAGGCATAATTATAGTACATGCTTCCTAGAGTTGCTGTAAAATTCTTAATTAATTAGCAGTCCCTGGATATAGTGAACATGGCATAGATGTTGTTAATGATTATCACTTCCTCTTCTATGCTTCCCAGACAGCACTGGGTACACCCCTCTCACCGCACTTACTACACTGCTGTAGAGAAACATCACCACGAACGAGAAAGTGCAAAGGTTTTAGGTTCACATCTATCTCAAATGCCAGCTCTGCCATTTTATCACCCTAAGATTTTCACCCTAGAATGAAATCCAAATTACATAACTTCTCTAAACCTCTAAGCTCTCTCATTTATAAAACAGATAATACAGTTGGCCCAGTGCCTTATTGGATCCAGCAAGTTCTGTGTCCAGATTTAATCAACTGTCAATGGAAAATATTTAAAAAAAAAAAAAAAAAAACCACAAAACTTTTTTTCTACAAAGTTCCAAAAAGCAAAATTTGAACTTGCTTTTTGGCAACTATTTATATAGCATTTACACGGTACTAGGTATTTGAAGTAATCTAGAGTTGATTTAAAGTATATGGGAAATGGAATTCCCTGGTGGTTCAGTGTTAAGAATCTGCCTGCCAGTAGGAGGGACATGGGTTTGGTCCCTGCTCTGGGAAGATCCCATATGTCTTGAGGGAACTATGCCTGGGCACCACAGCTACTGAGCCTGATCTCTAGAGCCCATGAGATAAAACTACTGAAGCATACATGCCCTAGAGCCCACGCTCTGCAACAAGAGAAGTCACCGAAAGAGAAAGACCCGCTGCAACTAGAGAAAGTCTGAGCATAGCAAACAACTGGAGAAAGTCTGAGCACAGTAAACAAAGCAAAAATTTAAAAACAATATATGGGAGGATATTATATGCAAACGCTACATCATTTTTAAAAAGGGACTTGAACATCCTTGGATTTTGGTTATCTGCAGGGTGTCCTGGTACCAATTCCCCAAGGGTACTGAGGAATGACTGTACTTATTTACTTTGTTGGGTTAGGAAAGCTAAAAAACAAAAAACCTATTATGAATGCACCTACTTGGTGTTCTAGCAGTATCTATAAGGCCCCTTACAAAATGAATCAGACCATCTCCTTGGAGCGGGTCGGAATGCAGAGGAGTGGGTGGGCTTTTTGTCAACGCTGGGGAGAAGAGCTTTACCTTCTTGTCTTGGGATTTTCTTGCTCGCTTTGGGCCTTGATGGTTTCTTCCATTGACAACATCTCCTCTGACTTCAAAATCATGCTGAAAGAAACCAAACCCAAACCACAGGGGTCAGAGAAAAAGAAGCTTCCTTCAATGGAAACAGAGGAGATATGTCATATTTAAGGAATGTATTGCCAGGCAGTTTTGACCCCCTTCCCCCAAAATCATGCTTTTTGGTAGAATGAATGAAATGACCAGCATTTCAGCTGCTGAAATCAATTCACTGAAGCCAATCTTTCTGGACAGAAACTAACGATTGGCTTTTCACCTCACTGGGACTTGATGTATTTTAATTTTGAACATCTATCTCCTCTCAAAACATTCACTTAGCATTTAGATTAAACTGCTAATACTGGGCTGTTTAAAGATAACTGGAGAATTCCTGATCTTTTAAATCAATCTGTATTATCATCTAAAGAAGTAAGGGCTTCTCAGGTTTCCCGTTGAGAGATGTACAGTTAATGAAACCAAAATGATAAAATATACATTTAATATACTGAAGAAAGAGGCTTTTCATAATCATATTTTGACTGGTCAAGGATGAGGAAATAAAGACTAATCAGATTAGAGAGGTTTTGGGAGAATTTGGGGAAAAGAATGCTTACAAACAATTCTTTCTGAAACTCAGATTGTCAGGGACCACATCTGTTGCTAAGAGTATTACAAAGAAAAATAAAGTCATGAGTATAACCACAGGCTGTTTTTAGGTGAAATAACTCTGGGGACTTTCCTGTGGTCCAGTGGTTAAGACTCTGCTTCCAGTGCAAGGGGCACAGGTTCCATCCCAGTTGGGGAACTAAAATCTCAAATGCTGCCTGGTATGGCCAAAAAAAAAAAGAACTACGAATATTTCCTGGTCATGTAAATGAGAAGAGTCTAGCAATAAATAGGTCATCTAGTTGAAGATGACACTAAAATTAACAGTCCTCACCATACCCCTGTGTCTACTAACCTCTCTATCTGGGTGTCACACAACATAACTCCCCAAACCCACGCATCTAAAACAGAGCTCATGGTGCTTCCCTGGTGGTCCAGTAGTTAAGAATCTGCCTTGCGAGGCTGGGGATACCAGCTCAGGAAGATCCTACATGCCTCTGAGCAACTGAGCCTGTGAGCCGCAAGTACTGAGCCTGCACC